AGGCCTTTTCGCGCTCTGGGCACGGGAAAGAAGCTGCTTGAAGGTCAGCATTTTGTTGGGGACTGGGGGCCGCCCCCGCGGCGCATGCGGTCTGCATGCAGGTGGAACCATCCCAAGAAACGAATTCGTTTTGGCAGAAGAGACTGCCACAGTGAGGTACACAGAGGCAGATACAGGCTCTCCACTAAGTGGCATGCCTGAATGGAATGTTTGCAATCCGTCTGTCTTTCCTCAAACTCCAGTCACAAGACTTACTTGTCAAGAAGTAGAACACCTCAGGATGTATGTATCATGTCTTTTTGTTTCTCCTGTTTGTCAGGTCCGTTTGTCCGGTTCTTCAGTTGGTGAGAGTGATGAGATCGATCTTTTACTTCTCGCGGTTCGCGTCTCTTTCGCGGTGTGATGGACGAATGCTCTCAGGAATGTTGTAATGAGCGACGGTATTGGAGCGATTGGTAATAAAGTGAGTGTGGACGAAAACTGTCATGTACCTCTGGCTGACAAAGAGCGCAGTGCTGATATACATAGGATGTCGAGACGAAAAAAGTCAAGCATACCATGCAGCACAGACGACGTATACACATTACTGCAACAGCAGGCGGAAAAGGATGACATTGTGTACGTGGGATGACCACGGCTTCAAATTTGCAAATGCCAATACTCCCCTTCCACTCCCCCATCACTCTTCACACAGCAGCAGCGCCTCCCCGGCTCGGCTCTTCCAGTGTGGCTGTGCTGGTCTGGTTGCGAAACAGCCGATGCTGCCCGATGCACGCCGTCCGCACCCACAAGGCACCGATGCACGAGCACCCCGCGGCCATCACGAGGGCGACACAAATAAATGCAACAGGGTAGTTGGCGCGATCGGCCACCCAGCCAGCAAACGGTGCGCCACCACAGCCGGCGATACCGATACCCATATACAGGAAGCCCAGGGCCCCTGGCAACCGATGAGTGCCGAACAGCTGAGCCACCACAACAGGTGTCAGCGAGATGAAAGCACCTGAAGAGACGCCGAACAGGCAGGCGAAGAGAATAAGCTGCCACAGGCGGCGGGCGATGGTGAGGAAGGCGATGTCGAGCGCCATCACAAGAGTGCCGACCCAGAAGGTGCCGATGCGGCCGAAGGTATCGGCGAGCTTGCCTACGATGACTCGGCCGACGGTGGATGACGCACCGAAGGCGGTGACGGTGAGAGCGGCTCGGTCAGACGATAATCCGTTCTCTATGCCCCTGAATGCATCCATCAATCACGACAACACACAGACACACATGCGGACGTGCGGCACTGAGTACGGCGTTCTCCAAACAGTGCTGACTGACCATGTGGGCCAGTGCGAGATGGCACCGAGGTAGGCGAATGAGCCGCAGAATTGTCCGGTCCAGATCATCAGGAATCGGCTGTCCCGGAACAAAGACCAGTCGAAGGCCGATAGCACCGCCTGATAAACCGACACGGGCTGCTTTCCCCCCACTGAACCAGACCGCGCAGGCGAAGCAGACGCCGCCGAGACTTCCTGCCTGCCGTCATCAGCTGCTGAGCTTGGAACCAGGTGTTCTTGCTTCTGCTCAGCACTCGCTGGAAGAGACGTGGCGACCTTGGCTTCTGCGTGCTGCTGCTGCTGATGGGGTGCCTGTCGGTCGGTCTCCTGCGGCCTCTTGAAGAAGAAGATTGATGCCAATAAGATCAAGGCCGTACAGAGGGCTGCCTGGACACGAAATGTATTGCGCCAACCCAAAGCGGAAAGGAGCGCGTCGAAGGTGGGCGCTAAGGAAACTGTCCCGATGCCGCTGCCCGACACAGCCAGACCTGCAAAACGGAAGAAACGATCACACATGGAGCCAGTGGGGAGTGGGCCATGTTTTGCGTACCAGTGGCGGTGGCTCGGTCTCTGTCGAAGTGCAGGGCGATTATGGTTATCGCGGACACTACACACACACACACACACACACACACACACAAAACGCAGACATTGCACGCATCTGTCTGTTTGTCTGTCTGTCTGTCTGTCTATCTGTCTGTCTGCACGCAAGAAACGCACTGTAGCTGAGGCCGAAGCCGAACCCGCTGACGACGCCATATGTGAGAAACAGCTGCCATAAATCAGTGACGAAGGAACTCGCCACCAGACCGCCCAGTACAATCACCGCACCCACTTGAGCCATACTGGTGGGTGATGTGACGGATGGACAGATAGAGAATAGAAACAAGAAATATCGCATGAGTGAACCAGATCCACATGGCGCACCTTCTGTGCCCATATTTCATCACTAAGGCGCCGTTGATGAATCCCAAGAAAAAGAAGGCAGAGGCCGACACGGAGCCGACCAGTGCGGCGAGGGCCTTGGTCTCCCCGAAGGCGTCCAAGAGGTAGGGAAAGAACACTCCCTGCATGCAGCCATCCATCAGCACACAGTAAGGTCTGCAAGATCTTCCTTTCAGGCGTGCTTTCCTTACGAATGTGTAGAGGGTTCCCTGTTTTCATCACACACAGAGGAAGGAAGAGCAAGACAAGTGACACATCTCTCTCTTGGTGCCCTTCGCGTGCATCCGCTTACGAAGTTGCTGAAGTGGACCATCCAGGAAGCCACAACCACAGTCCATCCCCGTTTCCAGTTGTCGGTTCCTCGCATGCCGCTCATTCCTCTCTCTTTCGCCGTTTCTTCTCTGCCTCTTCCGATCGCTTCCCTTCAGTCCAAGCTCGCGCCCTCCCTGCGCCCAAAAACATGGCAGCGCTTGGTATGCGTACACACTCCTGGCCATCGCCGCGCCTAAACATGATGAGTACCGTGGCGGAAGAATGATTCGGATCTCTGCCGCTGGTGCCGCTTGAGTGATGGCTGGATCTGTGTGAGGAATGAGGAATATCGGTGCTTTGATGACTTTTTCTCAGCTGCTCGGCACTCAGACGGGTCCATCGATGCTCAGCAATGAATGCTGCGGCTTCACTTTCAGCCCATCATGGACCAGTCGGCCGCGCAAGGCCACGCCGCCATCTCTGTCCCGGCGCTGCTATTCGCTCTCAACTGTGCGAACCCCCACTGCCGCGCATGGGCGCCTCTTGGCAGCTGCTCCCGTTCCGACTGCTCCCACTCCCGTCACTTCAGCCATTGGTGTGCTTCGACGACTGATGGAGATGGCCATGGGAGCGGGCCACTTTGTGATCGGCAACCAGCTGTGTGTCCTGTGGGTGGCTCTGTTCGGCATACAGGTGCTGCTCAACGCAGCCGAGACGGCCATTGCATCGCTGGATGCCTCGGAGATCGACGAGATCGTTGACAAGGAGGGGAGGCTGTCAGTGTTTGTGCCGCTGCAAAAGCCGTCCGACAGCGGCATCCTGGCGACCCTCTATGCTCTGCAATCGCTCGTCAGCTCAGCCGCAGCTGTGGTCTTCGTGTTGGTGGCTGTGTCCCGAGTTATGGCAGCCCATCTCGCCCCGCTCCATCATCTTGCCAAGCTCTTCCGCAGTGGCAAGGCGCTGGGGCAGCCGCCGATTCTCTCGGCCATCACCGTGCTGGCCTTTCTCACCTTCGTCTTGGGGGAGTTCGTGCCTCGCTCGGTGGGCGCCGCTTTGCCAGAGTGGGTGTGCCGCCGTGTCCTCCCTCCTGTCAATGCTATCAACGGGGTGCTCTGCCCTCTGCGGACGGGATGGCGGTGGGCTACCGGCCGGTGTCGTGAGATGCTCCTGGTGCTGGGATTGCCTGTGTCGCGGTTTGGTGGGCTTCGGTTCCCCCTGCCCCCATTACAGCAGCGAGTAGTAAAGGAGGTGGACGCGCAGGGGGACGGCGCGTCCGGCAGTGCATTTGCCACAGCGGAGCTGCTGCAGAGCCGGGCAATCAAGGAGGTCATGTGTCCCCGAGTGGACATTGTGGCCATCGACAAGACGGCCACTGTTTCTGAGTTCCTGAAGGTTTGTCAGGAGACCCGACACCACCGGCTGCCGGTGATTGACGGTGAGATCGATCGCATCGTGGGCGTGTTGAGTGTCAAGGACCTGATCAACATCGACTATCCCCACGGCACTGAGGGCGGGGAGAGGTGGACGCCATCGCAGGCGAGTTTCGACAACACAAGCGTGGAACAGCTGATGGGGGTGGCGTACGTGGTGCCCGAGACCATGAGCGTGTTCGCCGTCTTTCAGGTACGCCCAGATGAACAAAGAGGGAGGGGGGCCAATGCTACGGCTGGTCACTCTCCGTCCATGTGTGTGTGTGTGTGTGCAGGAGATCCGAAAACGCAATCTGCGCATGGTTCTTGTGGCTGATGAATACGGCGGTACTGCTGGCATTGGTAAGGAGAGACCCACACGCACCATGGCATTTGCGAGTGGGTCTGCCATGTCTCTATTGTGTGCATATCGGTCAGTGACGATGGAAGACATATTAGAAGAGATCATGAAAAGCGAAGACGATCAGCTCTACGCCTCCTCGTCCAGCGAATTCAAGGGCGCCTCCGAGCCCTCCCAGTCCCGCAGAGCCAAGAGCGCCCTCATCTACTATGACGAGAGCACAGACTGCTATTCCATAAAGGGCAACGCCGAACTTGAAGACGTGTGCAACGTCCTGGGGCAGCAGCTGGGAGCCATCATCACTGAGGAAGACTTCAGAAGCTTCCAAACACTGAGCGGTTTTCTGTGCAACGAGGCCGGGCGGATTCCCTCTGTGGGCGACCACATCCTGCTGGGCAAGGTGCCGTATGACTTCCACGTGACGGCGAGCGATGGGAGGCGGATCAACGAGGTGCGTGTGGTGCCGAGGAGGGACGAGGCTGAGAGGCACTATGTGGGCATGGCGAAGGAGAGACAGAGAGAAAGGCAGCCGGCCCCCCAGATGCTGCTGATGCAGACATGACGTGATTCATCCGACGTCTCTGTTGTGTGTAAGGCAGCTCTATCGCAATGGATGGATGGATCGATGTCTGTGGGGGATGAGTGACTGGTTAAGACACCTGTAAAGGCGTATTATGTATATGAGTCTGTCTGTCTATGCACACACACCAGAGGCACATCAGAGGTTCATCATCGCATCGCCCGCATGGCTATCACTGGCTATCCATCCATCCATCTATCTATGATCTAGCTGTACACTTTCTCGCCCTCATGGTGATCGCACGTCAGTGTTCACTCGTCCGTCCATCTGTGCTCCAAAATCCTGCCGGCAGGAATTCCGCGGCCGGCCACCCTAGTAGCTAGCGGACAGACAGAGCTCGGAGGCTGCACTGCACGTGGTGCCCTGCCCTCCCACTCACACAGACTCTATTCAATAGATAGATACATGCACTCACTCACTCCAGCCCCAAAAAGGAGGACTATTGTACACACAGCCATCGTCCCAGCTGCTAGGCACATTACGACGCGCATGTCGCCACCAGTTGCCGCGAGCCTTTGCTCTCCCTGTCGGTGACCGTCTCCCTCGATCCAGAGCCAGAGCCGGGAACATTAATCCTCTTCCTCATGGCGATCCGGCCAACACGGAGTACCTTGAGCAGCCCCGCGCCGAACGAGACTGACTGAAAGCCGTACTTTTCGTATAGCCTCATGGCCGCTGCACACAGGCACACAAGCAACAAACACACACATGCATGGCATGGCATGGCATGGCATGGCGAGGCGCGTGTCTGGTGGTCCGGACAGGTGGCGTCTTGTGTGTGTGTCTGTTTCCCTTACGCGTGTTGTATGTGTCGACCTCGAGCATGATGAGCTTGACGCCCATCTGGCCTGCCAGCATGATGGCCTGGTCGAGCAAAGATGACGCCACGCCCTTCCTCCTGTGGTCCTTGTGTGTCCACAGATTTCTGCGCGGACACACACAGAGACTTCTAGCAGCCATCTCAGCGAATGTGTGCATCCCAGCTCACTTCATGAAGAGCTGAGAACTAGACAGCACGCAGTCGAGCGTACCTGCATTGCAATGCAATGCAGACACACAACACACGACACGCCATGTGTCCTGTCCGTCTGCCTTTCCCCCATGTGATGTGTCCGTCCGATCCACAGGTACCGATGAGCGGCTCAGTCTGCGGACACTGCGTATTGATGGCGATGAGGACGTACGTGTCGTTCCGCCTCAGAGGAGCTATGCGGGCCTCCAGGGCGCGCCGCTTCGACTCAGGAGCCTTGACATCCACCGAGTTGCTCCTCAGCACGGACGTCCTCTGACGTGCGACCATCTCAAGCTCAGCCTGCATGTGTGCAAATGGCATGCATGAGTGAAGATCTATGTCAATCGTGGTGTGCTCGTTCTGTGCTGTGTCATCCTCCACTCCTTCCTCACCTCGGCGCGTGCCACGCGAACAGAGAACTGTCCCGTGGGCATGATCTGCCTCGGCATGTGCGGCATTTGGAAGGCCAAGGCGGCCTGGACAGCCCAGCTACAGATCCAACAGACAAACATGGCGCTTTGGGAGCTCTTTTTCTCGGCCGAGCTCGCAGATGTTCGCGTCTGTTTTACGGGTCGTCGAAGTCGTTCCGTAATGAGGTAGCTCACTCTCTTGACGTCCAGCCATGGATGCGGCGCAGGTGAGTGAACAACGGACTGGTGGGGTCTCATTGATGCGTTGCGATGTGATGCTCGTTCGGCACGTGCTATCCGTCCATCCATCTGCAGGTCAAGGCTGAGGCCGCGAGTATTGAGCAAAGCCTGCGTCAGCTCCAGGAGTTGCAATCGCAGGTACGGTCGTGCAAACACACGGCTGCGCTTGAATTGTGGGTACTCATTGAATGGATGGATGGATGGCGTGCTGCATGAATGCAGGTGGGCGGCTCTCTATCGCGAATCAATCAGCTGGACCTGTCAAACAGTGATGACCCTGCACAGGTACTGTAACCGCCATCACCTACACAATGGTGACTGACTCGACGACTGACTGATGTTTCCCCTCTAGGGCATTTCAGGCGTCTTCGCATGAGTCGTTGCGGCTTCAGCTGCGCCTCCTGGCCAGCCACTGCACGGCCTCTGTCAACCAGCTGTCGTGCCTGGCACCCGCCCTCTCCAGTACTGTAGATGCACTCACTCCCTCAGGGGATGCACCGCCCACCAGTAGCCCGGCAGCCGACGGGCAGACCGACGTACGCACACACGACGGGCACAGCACGTTGTGGATATTTGTTTTTGTCTTGTGTGTTGGCGTGTTGTGTCGCAGGCACCTGCAGTGAGCCGTCCGTCGTTTCGCCTCGTCTACAGGAGTGGCAACCCTCCACCTGTGAATGTGAATCAAGGACCGGTCAGACCGACACCATGACAGATCTGATACATCGAATCCTCTTGACCTTACTTTGATGTCATGTTGATTGTCACTTCAGGCCCGTCGTCGGCTGTCGCGTGATGAGCTCTCCAACGTGTTCGGCCACCTGCAGCCCTGGGAGCTGACGCGCCACCGCCGGCGTCTCGGCACGCCCCTCTTCCATCAGTCGGCCGCCAACTACACCCACCTGGTCATCGACTGTGAGGACGACACGGCGCGGCGCATGTGGGAGACCATGCCGCTGGCCGTGGCACACAGATGGGGCGAGAGAGCGATCAACGTCCGAGAGATCAAGCACCGCCCCCCCCAGTGGCTTGAAGGAAAGTGGTGTCGCGGCACCTGGGTGGCCATTGTCGAGGGTCACGGGCGGGGCCGGGCGGCCATCGCAGAGAAGAGACGACGAGAGAGGGAGGGAGGGGAGGAGACTGCTGCTGCGCCAGCAGGGCAAGGGGATCAGTCGGCTGACAAGGGCACATTGGAGATGCTGTCCTTCGAGGCCGTCGAGCTCGATGACAGCATTGACATCCCCCACCCTGTCCCCTCATGTGATCTGCCCCCCGCCCCCACCGAGCCCACTCACTTGCCCGCCCTCACGACGGTCGACAACATCCCTAGGCAGTGTCTGAAGGCTCGCGTGGGCCGCCAGTGGCGGACACCTGCCGTCAAGTCGCTCGTCACCGAAGATTGTCTGTTAGCGGCGGAGGGCGCGAGGGCATGGCTGGCCGACTGCGAGGCGGTCGAAGTGCTGCAGCTCAACGGAGTGGACGCAGAGGACTCGGCCGATGTGCTGAGGGTGCTGCCCGCCAACGGGAAGTCGCTGAAAGCGCTTCGCACACTTCGAGGCGTCGAGATGTATCGGAGCACCCCCGCCGACATCGACGAGCTGCGTGAGGTGATGGTGGCGAGGGGCGTCAGGCAGTCCATTCGTGAGCTCGAGATCGGCATGGGTAGTGGTCTGTGGAACATGGGCGAGCACTGGGAGAGACTGCAGAAAACTGCACAACTCGTGTAAGGATACATGAGAAGAGAAAAGGGTCAAGTACACGTGACGTACACATCATGTGCTCGTTGCTCTTTTGGTGCTTTTCTGCAGTGACGTCGTCGCTCATCACGAGGCGTTGTCGAATCGCATTGTGGCCGACGGTGACGGGGATGCATGCTATCATAGTATCGACGCCGAGCTCCTTTCGCGTAGCAGCAGCGGCACTCCCACTATGCAGCGGGTCATTGACGAGTACGCCAAGAGAGCCGACACCGTGTCCTACAGCGGAGAGGACGAGGCCGTCCCTGCAACCATCACGGACGACACCTTCCGCGCCGCCCACACACTGTCGCTGCTGGAGCATGCCCTCGCCAATGAGGCCAAGAAGAAGCGGGCGGTCGAGATCGCCTCCAACATGCCCAACCTGTCGCGCATCGAGATAGGAGACCATGAGCACGCTTTGCTGCTGGTGCCTGTTCGTGAGGTGTGGGGGTTCCTCGAGCACCTGCAGGCGGCGCTGGTCAGCAGGGGGCGGGAGAGGAGCCTGACGCTGTGCCTCGACCTGTCGCCAAACGAATTCACAGCACCCGTGCACGACTGGCAGAGCCCCTGTCTGTGGGGGCGGGGCAGCAACGACAAGCTGCCGCCGGTCGAGGAAGTGACGATCATCGTGTCCGGTATCATCGTGTCCGGTAAGGGGGGATGGGGGCGCAGGGGGGAACCAGCAGTCATGGCGTCTGTGCATGGGGTGTGTGTTCATTCACTGAAGGTGATCTAGATGATGACGGGCCGACGGATGATGACCACTATGAGACCTTTTACAGTAACGTGATGGTCACGATCACGTCCTTCACGGACGAGCTCAAGGTAACGCAACGCAACACACCATACAGACACAGCTGTCAGGCAGTGTGGCTACGCCATTCGTCCTATTTGCCCTGCAGGGTCACAAGAAGACATATGTGGGTTTGTTTGGCGGTAACCTGCGCACCGAATTCCAGCGGCGCTTCATGGCGCAGCAGGCCGGCCTCAACCTCAGCGGCGGGCCCTACAAGCTCAGCCTCGATGGCCAAGGGCTGTGCGTCGAGCGCAGTGCCGGCACATGGGTAGGACACACATCACACACACCACCGCCCACCACGTAACTTGAGTGTCTGTCTGTCTGGCCGTGTGTGTCGCCTGTCAGATGGTCACTCGGCGGCCCATGAAGGTTGCTGAGAGAGCTTCAGATGGATGGATGGATGGATGCTGGGCGACAACACCTTGACGGTGTGCGTAGAGCGGTGGGGTGGGAGAGCAGACAGACAGCTAGATGAGTGAGTGGCTGGTTAGCGGGAAGAGATGGCTTCCCTCACAGCCACCACGGCCCACTGTGGCTGGCTGTGCCGTGTGTTGCTGTGGGTGTGCTGAGAGCTTGATGCGTGTGCATATCGATGGTGCATACACGCCTGACTGGCTGAGTGGCTCCGTTTAATGTCTGCATCCTCCAGATCGCACACGTGGATGTCTCCACTGGGCACCAATCAGCCAGCCGGTGGGTCGGTCAGTCAGTCACATCACTCAACATGGACACACCAAAGCCTATCAAAGGCACTGGCGCTTCAACCCCCTCTTGCCAGACGCCAGCAAGGCAGGCAGTCACTCAAGGTCAGCCGCAAGGGAGAGGAGGCAGGAGCGTACACGTGATCATTGCACTCATTTATCAATGAACCCAACACACAGACAGACAGACAGACAGAAAGACAGACAGCCAAAGGTGAGTGAGTGAGACATCACTCTAATTGATTGGCTGGGCTGCAGGAGTTGAAGGAAGGAAGAGTATGACAGCGCGTCAACGCATGTATCGGCCGCCAGGTGTGTCAGATTACAGTAGCATACGTAGCGATGCAGACTGAGGGGTGAGGAAAGGAGGAAGGGTTGCATGACGGCTGGAGAACGTGGGGCATTCTGGCCCTTTTGTTAGTCATTTGTGTACAGGGAGACACACAGACACAGAGACACGTTCGTCCACTAAGACCGATAGACAGATAATTCAAGTGAGTTTTCAATGCTGTGTTCTTGTCCAGTGGAAGGGCTTTGAGTGTTGTATTCTCCCTTAAGGGCGCTCAGGGATGCCTTTGTATATCGGTGTCGATGAGGCGGTCGTGGACCGCCAGATACTGACTGTTGCTTACGTTACATAGTCGGCCACCACAGTGCAGTGGTTGATGATATGTATGGCATCGAATGCATTCGAAACGCAGTCAGTGGGTCATGTCAGATACCAAACAACTGAGCAAGCCAGCATGGACGCATCGGCGCATCGCATCCACAAGCAGTCCTGATGGATTAGCACATGCACACTCGACACTTCAACAAACAGTGGGACACGGAACACTAGCATGCTGACTGAAAGGGGTAGCCAGCGTCTGTCTGTCTATTCCCGCCCTACCGGACAAGATACGTGTGACACTGCACAGCAAAGCACAGCACAGACAGACACAGGTCGGACACACAGACGCGTCGGTGGCGCGTGTGCAGCTTGTGTGTACGACGCGCTCGTTACTTACTTATATGCCAATATCGCGGCGCTCGACATACAGCTTATCGCCATCAAGGCTGAGCTTGTAGGGCCCGCCGTTGAGGAGGCTGATGCCGGCATGCTGCGCCATGAAGCGCCGCTCGAAGTCGGTGCGCAGGGCATCGTTAAGTACCCTTACACAGGTCTTCTTGTGGCCCTAGTGTTCAGCCAAGAGGACGAACGACATATACACATTGCCGGACAGCTGTGTCTGTATGGTGTATTGTGTTGCGTTACCTTGAGTTCGTCATTGAATGAGGTGATCGTGGCAATCACGTTACTGTAAAAGGTCTCAAACTCATCGTGTAAAGCACCTTTAGTAAATAAACACACACCCCATACACAGACGCCATGGCTGCTGGTTCCCCTTTGCACCCCCATCCCCTCACCGAGCACGGTGATCGTCACTTCCTCGACCGACGGCAGCTTGTCGTTGCTGCCCCGCCCCCACAGACAGGGACTCCCGTCAGTGTACACGGGCTCCACAAATGCACTCGGCTGGATGGGCCAATGCACTGAAAGGTTCCTCTCCCGCCCCCGGCGGACCAGCGCCGCCTGCAGCCGCTCGAGGGACACTCACACCTCACTAGCAGGAGCGCCTCTTGTCTCGATGCAGGACAGGCTGGGCATATGGGAGGCGATCTCGACCGACCGCTTCTTCTTGGCCTCATTGGCCAGGGCACCACCAAAGAGCAGCAGGGTGCTCGCGGCGGGGAATGAGTCGTCGGTGATGGCCGCAGGGACGGCCTCGTCGCCTCCGCTGTACACCACGGTGTGAGCGACCTTGGCGTACTCGTTGATGAGCTTCTGGGCGGCGGCGGGGCCGGTGCTGCTGCGCGAGAGGAGCTCCGCGGAAATCTGTCCACAGGTGCCGTCGTTGCTGAGTGCGAAGACGCCCTTCTTGACTGCTTCGGGGTGAGCAATGGCGTCACTGGTCGAAGACAAAGCACAGGAATGAATTGCACCGTCTCTCTGCAGCCCCTCCCCCCCTCCCCCCTCCCTCTCTCTCTCTCTCTCTGTCCCTCCCTCTATTGTGTCCTTACATGAGCCGTGCGACCCTCTGCAGTCTCTCCCAGTACTCGTTAGTGCTCGGCATCCTCCACCCCATGTCGATCTCGAGCTCGCGAATGGACCGGCTGACGCCCCTCGCCACCATCACCTCACGCAGCCTGTCGATGTCGGCGGGGCGGCTCCAATCCATCCGGACGCCCCGGAGTGTGCGGAGCGCCGCCAACGACTTCCCGTCGGCGGGCAGCACACTCAGCCCATCGGCCGTCATGTCGGCATCCCATCCCTTGAGGTCCAGTTCCTCAATGGCCTCGGCCAGCCATGCCCTTAGACCACTAACCACCCTTGACCTTAGATCACTAGCCATGTCCCTGGTGATAAGCGACTTGACGGCAGGTGTGCGCCACTGGCGGCCCACGCGAGCCCTCAGAAACTCCCTGGGGATGTTGTCGACCGTCGTGAGGGCGGACAGGTGGATGGGGGCGGCGGGGGCGGGGAGCAGGTCAGATGAGGGGGGAGGGTTGGGGATGTCAATGCTGTCGTCGAGCTCGACGGCCTCGAATGACAGCACCTCCAATGTGCCCTCGTCAGCCGGCTGATCCCCTTGCCCTGGCGCGGCAGCCGCTGTCCCCTCCCCTCCCTCCCTCTCTCGTCGTTTCTTGCGTGCGATGGCCGCCCGGCCCCTCGCATGCCCCTCGACCACGGCGACCCAGGTGCCGCGACACCAGCTCTCTTGCCACTTGGGGTAGCGGTGCTTGATCTCTCGCACGTTGGTCGCCCTCTGCCCCCACTTGTGCGCCACGTCGAGTGGCATGGTCTCCCACATGTGCCGCGCCGTCTCGTCCTCACAGTCGATGACCAGGTGGGTGTAGTTGGCGGCCGACTGATGGAAGAGGGGCGTGCCGAGACGCCGGCGGTGGCGCGTCAGCTCCCAGGGCTGCAGATGGCCGAACACGCTGGCCAACTCATCGCGGGACAGACGAAGACGGGCCTGAAGTGGCAACCAACATGACAACAACACGCCATGGGCTGATTACATCGCACAGATTGCTGTGCGTGGCCCTCACCGGTCCTTCTTTGTTGACGGGGGGAGGGTTGCCGCTTTGATGGATCAAACGATACGATGGACGCCGTGCCTGTGACCAAAACACATGTAATGGACACAATGCTCTCTCAGAGCTCTGCATTGCATTGCCTTGCATGGTCTGTACCTGTGACTGTCCGTCGGCATTTGCAGCTGCCGAGCTAGTGGCTGCTGGTGGCGTGGCTGTGGCCGTCAGCGCATCAACCGCTCCCGAGAGCCCCGATTTGACGGACGACAGCTGAGTGACGGCACTGTCGACGTGGGCGGCAGCGAGGGACAGCTGGACGTGGACCTGCAGCGACTCAGGTGATGACTCCTGCGACAGACACACAGGAGAGAGAACAGCAGACACCAATCAGTGAAGCGCGGTGAATCGGCTGCCCGGTGTCGTCCGTTTCGTCTTGTGTCTGTACCTCAGCCGGGTGATTGGCAGGGTCCACCTGCTTGATCTGGGACAAACAAGCGCCAACCTGCATGATGCACCGACAGAGTATAGCAGGAACCAACACGCCACAAATGCAATGAGCGCCTTTGCTTTCGTCACTAATCATGACACTCCGTGTGCGTCAGTCAGGTGCTAGCGTCAGTCGTATCACACACCTCTGACTGGAGCTGCAGCAGCTGGTCCAGGCCCTGCTCCACGCCCGCCGCCTGCTCCTTCAACTGAATCACAACACCGCCATTGGACTGCATGCCATGAGGTGATGCCTGCTTTTGCTCACAATACGTGCCTCTGTTACCTGAGATACATTCATGGCGGTGTGCCGAGCCCCACTGAACGGCAGATCTGACTCTGGCGAGATGCGAGATCACAAAGCTTAGGGTGCTTCGTGAAACCGCCGCTTTGCGAAAGGGAATGGTGAAAGAGGAAGACGGCAGGGAGGGCAGGGTGGTTCTGCATCTTGACTTCGACTGCTTCTATGCACAGGTGCCAATGAAACTTCAGGATCTTCTTGGTTGGCGGTGGTTCATCACATCAAGCCCTGCTGTGGTTTCTCCTCCAGGTGTTCATTCAGACAGACCCAAAGGCTCTTGCAGACAAGCCCGTGGGAGTCACACAGAAGTACCTGGTGCGCATTTGCCGAAGTGCCCACTGCAGATCGTTCATTCAATTGTTCCCTGTGCTTTGGTCTACACACAGGTGATCACGTGCAACTATGTGGCTCGGCGGAGAGGTGTGAAGAAGCTAACACCCATCACTGAGGCGCTGCGGGTCTGCCCCGACCTCATCCTCTTCAACGGTGAGAACCTTCGCCCCTTCCGCGAGGCTAACGCTCGTGTGGAGACTCTGCTCAAAGCGCCCGAGACCTGGAAGAGTGTCACACGCTCTCCGAGGGGCACCCCGCCCCCCGTTGAGAAGCTTGCACTTGACGAGTTCTTCATCGACATCAGCGATGCGGTGCGGCTACGGGCCATCACCGAGAACAGCCTGCTGTTGTTTGAAGGCCATGTGGTGGGCGAGCCGAGCAGCTCTGACGATGAGACGTTGCTGGGGGGCCGCAAGCGGCGGTGGGGCGACGTGCTGATATCGCACATGCGGGAGAAGAAGAGGCGGCGGGACGAGACTGCGGCTGGCGGTGGGGAGAGCGATGGGGAGGGCCCTCCGCCGGACGAATCGGACAGTGAAGATGAGGAGGGGCCCTATCTCGGGTGGGCCAGCAAAGGAGAACAGAACCACAGCCGCACATGTGTGTGTACGCTGATGCTGTTGCGTTGGTTGGTTGTAGGTATGACATGGACCCCCATCTGCTCGGTCCTCTAGGCCTCCCGGTGCCCGAATGGCCGCCGACTTCATATGAGACCCCGCCGCACCCGTCGAACGCTCTCGGCACCATTCGCCGGCACAAGATAGCGTCGATCATCGCCAAAGAGATCCGCGATCGGATCCACACGAGGCTGGGGCTGACCTGCTGCGGGGGAGTAGGGCCTAACAAGCCAGTGTCCAAGATGGTGGCAGGTGAGAAGGATCGCATGGCAAGAGCGGTGGATGGATGGACGTATGGATGACTTATCTGATTGGTGTTGCATTGCCTTCGTCGTCTGTGTGATTACTTCAGGTTTGCACAAGCCGAACATGCAGACTACCATCCTGCCCTCAGCTGTCAGGTGGCCAAAGTGAACTGAACTGACGACACTCGTGAACAGGGCCAACCAAAGTGGTCAACGTGCTGTGTATGACTTGCAGGGACTTCCTGGCGCCACTGCCTTTGCGCAAGCTGCCGGGCATCGGAGGCACATACGAGAAGACACTGACAGAGGGCGGCATCACCGTAAGGCAACCCCCGAAGCACGCACCTCACATTCGACTCTTTCCCCTATGTGTGTGTTGGTGCAGACACTCGGGCAGCTAGCTTCGAGGTCTGTCGGTGATCTGGTGCGGCTGCTGGGGTCGGTCAAGGTCGCAACTGTACTTAAGGAACGCGCTACAGACGGGGGCAACGAGCCGGTGCAGGAGGGGGGGCCGCCTAAGTCACTCAGCTGTGAGGACTCCCTGAGAGATGGGGAGGTTACCACGCCCGAACAAGCGCTGAGGTATGCTTGCCGAAAGCAGGGCGATCTCGAATTTACCCGGGTTTTGTCTTTTTCTCAGGGTGTTGTCTGCTCTCGTGGCTGAGCTGTCCCAGCGGCTGTCCGACGACTATGCCGAGCACCACCGACTCCCCACCAACGTGGTGCTGAGCTGGCGCCTCCGAGGCATGGGCTACTCCGGCCGCCACTCGCGGGCCGCCCCCCTCCCTCTGTATGGCATCCCGCTGCCCCCCTCCCCTGCTGCCATCGGCTCGGCCATCGAGCAGGAGGCGAAGAAGCTGCTTGACCAGCACATCGTCGCACCTGCCGCCAAGCCCACTGCCGCGGACGAGCCTGTGTGGACGGGCCAGTCAGCTGTCGAGGGGAGGGGGGGAGCGGTGTTCCATCTCACTCTGCTTAACGTGGGGGTGTCTGCGTGGCGAGACGCGGGCAGCGCAAGCAACGGGCGGACCCCCACCTTGTCGGAGTTCCTTAGGCGTCAGGCGGATGGCGGGAAGGAGAGGGGGCCGGGCGAGCGGAGCAGGGCAGCTGCTGAGGAGAAACAGCCTCGTTTTGGCTTCGGACAGAGCAAACAAGACTTCCGGCGAGAGGTGCAGGAGTGCAAGTGAATGCGTGATCGATTCATTTGCGTGGTGTGTGTGTGTGGGGGGGGGGGGTCTGCCTTGATGAGAGACACGTGTGTGTGCGTAAATGGGCGACGTTTGTGTTGTGAAAGATGGTCTACGCATATCATGTCCAGACACGTGACCTGATACGATTCATTCAATCATGCCGTGCCCCGGCCGGTGGGGATTTTCGCCGGCATGGCATGCAGTCGCGCGTCCGTCTCGGGCCATGGAAGCGAACAAAGGTCCTAGATATCTACATATATGGTGTAATGTCATGTCATGTCGTGCACACGCAGTAAGCAAGGAACGAGCAAACGAATACACACACACACACATACACATACACACACACACATACACAGGCACAGGATGAAAGAAAAACAGCGGCAGAAGCAAACGAGAATGCCTCAGTGACGAACGCCCAAATGTGAGATGGAACATATCATGCAGTCAGTCCGCCGGTCTCTCTTCCTCTCCACATGTACAGGACACACATCGAGCTGATCTGTAGGTAGGCATCAGAACATCACCACCGATTGCCTCACAGGGATGACCTGCACTCGGCTGGCCGGCCCCACCTCCACAACCCTCTCACTACCCTCTCCACCCAGCAGCAGCAAACGGTCATGCACAGGCAGCTGGCGCATACCAGGGCTGCGATGAAGTGCCCGCACCACGCCAGAACCAACACCGTCACCAGCCAATGCAGGCTCCTCTCCCTCTGGCGCACGGCACGGGCTCGGCCTCGCGCAGCAGGGGCTGACCGGCCTCCTTTCCGGAATGTGATGAACTTCCTCCTCCGAGACACTTCGCACCCTCGCCGCCCAAAATGGTGCTCTAGGGGTCACAACCGCCCGATAAGTGGTCGGTGGGCTCAGCTGCGGCCCGAGAGGTGGGTAGTAATGCCGTGGGGGGCGCACTCGGAGGGGGCTTGGTGGGCTGGGGGGTCGGGGACGGGTGGCGGAGAGGACCAAAGGTGAGGGGGCCCGTTGGAAGGGGAGAGGCTGGCGGGGGAGGCGGATGTGGGGGCCTGTGATGATCACTGGCGGTGGGGAGGGCGCCCTGCGGATCTCCTGGCTGACGGAGCGGTCAATGGAGGGGGCTGAGGACACGAGAATGTCCTCCTGAGAGACATGATACAGACAATCACACAGAAGCACACCCACGGATTCGAGACATACATGCACGTGTGCCCTGTGTGTGTGTGTGTGTGTGTTTGCCTTCATCTGGAGCATGTCAGCGACTCTGTCCTTGATCCTCCGATTGGCCTCCCTCAGCTCCCGCATGCTGCTCTCCCACCCATTGGTCTCAGACGGCGGGCCTCTCGCAACCTCACCATCAGGCCGACGGTGTCTCGCCCCTGTCCCCTCTCGGCCGCTCATGACGGCCAACACGTCTCTTGTGGTCTGCTGGATCTCCGTGACATCGTTACGGATACTGGCAGCGCACAAACAGTGACACACCTGACTGATGGGTCGAACGAGTCGATGTGTGTGTGCTTTGTCAGCATACGGACATGGTGAGGTCCTCATTGAGCTTGGCCTGCTTCTCCTGCTCGCTTTCACCATCAGCGCCGCCCTCAATGGGCCGGTGGCCGTTGTCCGCTCTTACCCTCCCGTTGCCGGCAGCCATGTCTCGCAGCGACCGCTCCCTCTCCCCTTTCAGGTCAGCCTGCACTCCCTTGCTGGCACATATGGCGGCCTCCCTTCTCTCATCCCTTTGTTTCGGCGCCTCTGTCTTCTTCCTCCCCTCTGGCGGCTCTCCAGCTGCAGCTGCAGCCCTGGCCGGAGCACCAGTACCTGCCGACTCTCGGCCAGGGGTGAGGTTCAGCTCAGGCGACAGAATGCGCCGATACCGCAGCTGGTCCCTGAACGTCGGGGGGCCTCCTTCCGGACGAGCCGATTCAGGAATGAGCTCTGCTGCAGGCCTTGGGGTAGCCGATCCCCTGGGTGCATCTGCTGACAGGCGCCTGGCCCCCTGTTGACGTGACAGAGGCCGCCCTTCCGCCTCCCTTTGTTCTGCAAGCCTCATGCGGGCCACCACTGGGCTGATGGTGCTCCTGCGGCGACCTGATATCCTCTTGCCGACAGGCGCTTTGGTCTCCTCCCCTGCTGCCCTCTGCCGTGGGCTTCTCGTGGGAGACACGGGCTCTTGTCTCCCTCCTTTTTTTGGCCCAGGAGCGGCGATGCGAGGAGACGGGGCCCTCTGCATCTGCATTCTTGCCGGTAAGTGAAGGTCCTCCTCCGAACCCTGATAGTTGCCCTCAAAGCGGAAGACGTTGCCCTCGTCCGGTTGTCGTGGTCGTGGTGCCGCGGCCCGGGCGGCAACCCCCTTCGGCACCTCTGCGAACGGCTGTCTTGGCCTGGACTGGCTGGCGGCCCTGATGCGCTCCAGCTCCTGGCCTCTCGTCCGGATGGTGGCCCTCAGCTCGTCCAGCACCCCCTCTATCTGACCAGACGGCACCCTGCGCACCGGCACAACAGAAGAACCAGCCGCTTCAGAGGCGGCCAGCTCGTTTCCTTCCGTCCCGGATGGCAAGTGGAGGAGCAGGGACGGCATGGCAATGCCCGGTGACGCTGTTGGGCGGCATGTTTCGTAAAGCGTCTGTGTGTGTTGATCCCAACGCCGTCTGCTGGCTGCTAGCCTGTCCATGCGATTGACGAGTTGCCGAATGGCAGTGTCGAATGAGCGGGGGGAGGGGGGAGGCCCTGGGGCATCTGATGGGACGTCCCGGTACTGCGATTGGAGCCGCAGGAGCCGGTGATGAATGTGGTCCAGAAGCTGCAAGCACGACAGAGAAACCATGCCACCCATGGCCCCGCCAACCAGTGTGAAATCAATGGCGTCAACGGAAGAATAAGCGGCGCTTTCTCTCTCACCTCACCTTTTCGGTCTTGACGAAGCCCTCCATGCTGCGATATCTCTCGTCATGACCGCCCCCATGCTCAACGAGCTCCCGCCACCTCTCCCACTCGCCTATAAGGCTCTCGCCTTGCTTGAGCAATTGCTGAATGGAATCTCTCAGGAGAACAGCCAAGTGACTCGGAAGCGCTGGCAGGTCGCTCCTCGCGCTGAAATCCTCACTCATCGGGGCTCTCCGCGAAGTGCGAGCTTAGACAAAACGGACGGAGAACTTGCCCTCCCTCTTCCTTCCGCATTACGCGTTTCGGTGAGTTCGACCTCCGTGACGATCATCGGCTGAAGGATGCTGAAGGACGGAGGCTGTGAATCACGCCGCCGGGCTGTGGACCAAAGCGGCATCCCTCACTGAGCTGATGAGCGTCAAGAGCAACGACGGAGACCCTGCAGTTGGTTTGGCGATACTTCTCTTTTCCGTTTCAATTGCCTGTGTCGTGCCACTTCTCTACACCGTCCTTGCTGCACACATACCACACGTCTGGCACAACCGCCGAGCCACCATGAGGAGGCTCACACGTGAGCGGACACACAACACTCACACGGCCAGCCCGCAACATCACAGCAGTTAACAGCATCAGATGCTCTGTGGTGTCTGTCTGTCTGTCTGTGTGCGTGTTTCGTTTCAGAGGCGTTCCATGCGGTGCGCACGACGCTGCTGCCGACGGGGGATGTGAACGAGGGCATCTGCACGCTGGTGTGTCGTGCGTCGCCAGATCTGGTGACCGAATGCGTCATCTGCATGTACGTGAGGCGGAAGACCTTCATCGTGCGCCTGCCCTGCGGAGCATCAGCATGCCTCAAATGCATCAGGTCGGTTAGGTACCTAACACAAAACAGACAGATAGGCAGCCAGGCAGGCAGGCAGGCACGCAGGAAAGGAGCGAGTGGGATGTGTGTGTGCAGGCGTCAGATGGCATCGTGTTTCGATGAGAGCAAGAGGGAGCTGCAGTGCCTCTACTGCCGGGATGAGCTGCCCCAGGCCATCATCAGAGACGCGTGCTACTGGCGACCAGACCTATGGCGCAGATACCTACAGTGGTCAGTCAGCGCACACACCACACACATGAAACCAACAAGCAACACTCACTCATCCCTTTCACCGCTGTGTCCACCCCATCCTGTCCACCCACAGGTCACTAACGATGGGTCTGAGGCATTCCCGCACCGAGTTTGACGAAGAGCCCATCCACTGCCCATCGCCAGGCTGCAACCACACCTTCCTCGCCGACCGAGCCGCCCTCGACCAAAAGCAGCGAGCCGAGCCCTCCTCTCTCATCAACATCCGGCGCATCTTCTGGCGGCCTCCCCGTGGCTGCGACGGCCACACCGACGCCCGGCGGGTGACGTGCAATGCCTGCCGCCAGACTTTCTGCATCCTCTGTGGGCTGCAGTGGGAGGCCGACGGGGCTGGCTCGGCCACACACGACGGGCGGACGTGTGTGGCGTACCGGTCGACCTACCGGGCTGTTGAGGCTGAGAGAGCGAGATTGGACTACTACCGGGTGAGTCAGTCAGTGGGGGCGAATGCTTTGCTGTGTGTGTCGTGATGGTTCGTTTGATTGGTGTGTGTGTGTGTGTGTGGTTTGTGTGCAGGTGGGCAGGGACGTTGGTGCGGCGACGTGTCCGACCTGCTCGCTGCGCATTGTGCGGTCCTTTGGCTGCGACAGAATGGTCAGCCGGCAAATATGTGACACAGGGAAGGCACCTGTCTTTCTGGGGTGCTTGGGTGTGCGTTCAGGTGTGCAGCAACTGCCGCACGGCGTTCTGCTATCGGTGCGGGCGCCACTGGGGCCTCAACGGCCACCGATGCAGCCGCCCAGTGCAGCAGCAATGCGCTGTCATGTGAGGGGTGGAGGAAGGGAGGGATGGATGCGTGACATAATATTATGAATGACCTGCGTGACATACAGACATACCTACCTACCTACCTACATGGGACAGACAGACCACACATATATTGTCGTGTGTGTGTATAGCTTAGCTGGCTGTACAGGGATGGTTGTTTGTTTGTTTGCACACGGAATGGACCAGCCCTCGATACAAAGAACCCATCTGTTCCCTGCCATGCTGAGCTGGGTGGTGTGGTGTTATGGGAGCCCAGCCCCTTCACAAGGGCAGGGCCCCCATTACACCACCACATCTAGGACAGGATGCCATGGACACAGATGGTTTGGGCTCTCGTGAATCGGAGCATTATCCATCCATGACATCGCACGTATGTTTGCAATGGGCGCACTGTACACGTCCGGTCCGTTTGTGTGTCATTTTTCTGTGTCTGACAGGACACGCCTTGGCTCTTGTACACGCTCAGACGAGGGGAGGAGAAGGAAGGCCGCGTTGGTTATTGTTATTGTGTACTCATATATATTCAGTTTTTCCTTCTCAGACCTGCCTGCCTGCCGACCTGTCGGCCTGGCTCGGTGCTGTTTTTCCGTTGAGCTGATGGGGGCTGAGCTGAGCTGACGTGGCGTGGGGGGGTGTGTGTGCAAACAGAGACGTGGGCCGTCCGTCGGTCAGTGACTTTTGCCGTCATTCATGTGTGTGTCTTGTTTGTTTCTATAAATTGCAATCACAGAGAGAGCATGTGGGTGGGCATCGATATGATGCACCGCACCGGGTCAGTCACCATGGCATGGCATAGCAAGGCATGGCATGGCATGGAGGAGTTAGTGGAACAAGCCAGAAGTAAAAACAGCGAGTACGCACACACACAGAGCTGCACACACGCACACACACATGCACCGCACCTGGTAATCAGTCAGTCGCGCAGCATAGCTACCCAATGAATGAATGACCAAAAAGAGCTCTTGCAATCCTCGCCATATATTCCTCCCCCATCAGTCAGTGGCGACGGCACGCCCCATGACATGACGGAATGTCCTACCTTTACCTTCACCGACCACGCACACGTAAGAAGTAGTGTCATTTACATGACAGTCCACCCCACCAGTCAATGTCGAATAGGGCCACACGGGCTGGTTGGTGTGCCGACCGTCCTCCGTTGGTGCACCTCACGCAGCATTCGTGTCACATGGGCGATTGGGTCATGTGACACTCATGTGGTGTGGCGCACGCACCAACGGCTGGCCGGCCGGCCCGTCGGCACGCCAGCCAACCGAGTCAGTCAATCCGTCCATCCATCCATCCCCCGTCAGCAATGTTGTCAAGTCATTGTTGTCTGTCTGTATAAACAGCACATCCATCCCCCCATCCGACCATCCAGGAAGTCACTGAACTGACACGACACACATGACATGCACTCACGCAGCCAGGCCGGCCGGCAGAGAGCGAGAAGAGGTAGACTGCACACACACACACACACACAAACACACACACCACGCCACGCATGCAGCCATACAGGTGGTATCATACCGGATGGATGGATGGTGGATGGGATGTGTGGGCACACTGCGGCTAAATTGCCCCTGGTCTCTCTTGCATGGTGTGTGTTGTGTCAGGATGCATTCCCTCGCCACCCACATCAGTCAAACCAGCTCGTCAGCAAAGGGCGGGCGGGGGCGGCTATGTGGGTGGGCAAGGGAGGGGGGAAAGGAGAGAGAGAGAGAGGCAGCGAGTGAGAAACTTTACAGTGACCGACTGGGCGTGGGGGAGTCGGTCCGCCCCCACACAGGCGATTTGCAGTCGCGATGTACAGGCAGGCAGGCAGGCAGGCAGTGATCTGCACAGAGACAGAAGGCAAAACGTGAGGGAGGCGAACAACACAACCACCACGCATCCACCGCAGATACGTATCGACCCCATCTCCCGCCCCGCTGCCCCGCTCCCTCTCTCCCTTCGTATGTGACATGTCATGTGAGGCGTATGCTAAAGATATACGAGCATGCGGTGCGGGTGTGGCGTGTGTGGCGTGTGTGGCGTGTGGGTGTGACAGAGTCAGTCAGTCGGAGTCCTTGTCGCCATCGTCGTCCGAGTCGTCGTCCGAGTCGTCGCCAGGCAGCACCCACTTGAGCCGCTTCACCACACCCTTGAACCCGCAGTGCTGGTAGTGGTCCTCATCCTGACACACAACACACAACACAGAGAAGAATCCTCTCTCTCTCTCTCTCTCTCTGTGTGTGTGTGTGTGTGTGTGTGGCTGGTTACGTAGAAGCCCTTGCATCTGTAGTTGCCTGTCATGGGGTCGAAGTCGAGGTTGCCGGCGCCGCACACGGCGCACTTGGGGGTCCTGCCCAGCACACGGCCCTGCGCCACGCGCTGGACCAGCTCGTTCTTGTTGCCAGAGATCTTCTGCTGGTTCTTCTTGAGCTCGGGCTACACAACACACACACACACACACACAGTGTATGTGTCGCGTGTTTGTGGGGGAGTGGGAGTGGGGAGGCGACAGGCCCACCCAGACCGACTCACTCACCTTGAGTTGTCCTATGGTAAGGACCATGAGGTCCTCGTAGAGTTGGTTGATCTTGTCCCCGTCGGCCTGGGAGACGACGCTGGAGTTGAAGTGGAACACGCCGGCCGTCTGCTTGGCCTTCTTCTTCTTCTTCTGCTTCGCCTTGGCCTTCGCCTTGCGCTTCTTGCCGCCCCCGTAGTCCTCATCGTCTGCAGTGCCCACACGCACCCACACAACACGCACATACATGGATGGATGGATGGAGAGCCGTGTGCGCGTGTGACTGACCATCACTGTCCTCGTCGCTGTCGTCGTCCGCCTTGCGCTTGGCTTTGGCTTTGGCCTTGGCCTTGCTCTTGGCCTTGCTCTTGGCGGCCTTCCTGCAGTAAGTATGACGCACACACACCAAACCACACCAAACCACACCACACGCACAGACACACGCATACACCACCACCCAACCACCCAACCACCCAACCACCCAACCACCCAACCACCCAACCACCCAACCAACCAACCATCACACCGCCCTCCCCCTCCCTCTCCCTCTGTCTGCCACCACCACACAAGGACGATGCTCACTTCTTCTTGGGTCTGTCGTCTTCCTCCGAGTCGTCATCCTCCTCACTGTCATCCTCGTCACTGTCATCCTCATCGCCCTCGTCCTCCTCCCCACACAGCACCCGCAGCACCTTCTTGACCTGGGCCACCTGGTCGGCGTCGAGGTCCTCCACGCCGAGGAGGGGGCTGGTGTCGCTGAGGTTGGACTTCCACCACTTCTCGCTCTTGCGCCACTCGCGCATGCAGTCGGCTTTGAGGCAGTAGTACTTGGGTCCGATGATGGCGTACTTCTGGCGGGGGTCCATCATCTCTATGTCAGCCATCTTGTCCTCGTCGATCTCCTGCTTGGCCATGAACCGCAGCACGCCCTTTGCGATCTTCTGCTTGCACCCACGACACCCCGCACGGGCGTTGGGCGACGGACCAACACCTGATATGTCGTCACATACGACAGACAGGTCACAGGCAGACAGGGATGGGGTGACCGGATACACCCTCGTCGCTACCCATCACACCTACTGAAGGTGAAATTGACCATGGCGACCACTCAATCAACGTGAATGCCACTCCAGACGCCGCCGTGAGCAGTCTCCGAGACCCGCCGCCGACTTGCGAGCTAAATAAAGCCGCCGTTGACCGTTGACGCGATAGAACAAGGCCACACAGGTGTGTACACGCCAGATTGTTGCAGCGGGCAGAGTCCCTCCCTCCCCCCTTGGCATTTGTATTCTGTGCGTCTGGCTGTGTGCTTGCCTTGTTCTGTGGCTGCCTGCCCTTCGTCATCGTATCCTTGTGGAAGGAATTTTCTATCGGCCCTGCCGCTGCTGCCCGCCCCTGCCGTCTGATCCCATCCCCAGTGCTGTGATTGCTTGAGTGAAAAGTGAGTGGCGGAGATAATGGCGATGCGGCCGGGTGTGCTCCCCCTTCTGTTGCTGTTGAGCGGGCCGTTTATGGTGGTGCGAGTGGGTGGGCGTGATGCCGAGACCGAGCCCTTGCTGCACAAGGCGATACACGGCCGGCACCCCCACTTTGACCCGGCGCGACAGGACCACGAGGAGCCCAACATCGGGGCACTGGACGTCGACACTCCCACCATCGACAAGAATGGGAACACAATCGAGGTAAGACATGCCAGGGGGGGGGG